TTACTACGATTTGACAATATAATGACTAAAATTTAATTTATTGATCATTTCTATTCCAACTTAACATACTTTAAAAGTATAATTACTATATGCGTTGTTCAGAATATAGTAGAAATTCTTGTGTACTTCACGAGTTTCCTAGTATAGTTAGACCTTTTTGTATATACTCATGTTTAAAAAAAGGTTGAACCCCAACCTTAAGGGCCCCCACCAACCCTGCCCTGGGCCATCGTGGAGGAGATAAATCGCAGGATGTGCCTCCCAGGAGCCAGGGTGGAGAGCACATGGATAGGCCAAGGCTGTTAACCCATATGATAACTCCCGCTTGCAACAAAGCCAATTCCACCTTGCGGGGAATCGAACTCTGCACACTGCCGCTCTAAGTCCTATTCGCCCTCCCCTTTGCCACTGGGAGATATGCCCTGGGGGCGTATATACTCATATTTAATTATATGTTTGGCAAACAATATTAGATAATATAAAATAATTTGAAATGTAAGATAAAAAAAAACTAAAATTTTAATCTTTAACAATTTCCTTCATTACCTAGATAACTTATTGACAGCTGAAAATTGAAATTCCAAACTCTAGTTGCATGTACCATACACCATGTCATATAAACATAAATAGCACAGTGAATAAAATTTTATCTTTCTTCTTCAATAATGTTGTCCATTTCACCGAACAAGTCCGAAGACATTTTCCAGGATCATAATATCTTTGTCTTTGGAGCATATTTTATGGATCTCTATTTCCTGTCTGAACTCTTTTCATCTTTTAAAATCAAGAATTATTTTTTTTTTTTTTTTTGAGGGTTTTTAATTTGTTTCTGCAACTTCCATGAATTTCATAGGTCCTTGTACTGTTGTACATAATAGTATAAATTAATACCATTTATTATCTTCTGGGAGTAAGTTATGCTCGAATATATACTGTGCATATTTAATTTGACTGACTACCATAATGAACAATTTCGTTTTTCCCATTTCTTATCCTACAGAACGCTAAAAAGGTTCAATATATGCATGTTTCGGTATATTAATAAATGATCAGATAATTACTATTTGACTAAGCATAGATGTTCATTTATAGGTTTCCTGTTATCACAATTCGTTACCTATTATCACCTTATAGTCTTCACTAAAACTTGATCATTTTTCTTTTGCATATAGTTGTAAATCTTGAAATTCGTGAATTTGTTCATTTATAGGTTTCCTGTCCATCGTCGTTACACTAAGAATTACTACGACAAAAGACGTAACTAAGATACATAAATTTGTTAATATATATACACGCCCAAAAAGTTTAAAATGTTAAAGAGTTGCCATATTTATTTATTATTAGTGCCTTAATGTTTAAGAAAAATGAATTGGACAGAGTTGAAGTATCAATTTTCTTGTACATTGACATCGTAGTTTGGCCATACGTTCGCAAGCCTCTAGACGATTTTGGTTATTCAAGTACCGGCGAACTCTCTTGGTCTAACTTCAAGCCATACTGAGATTGAGGCTTGACAAAGTTGAGGAATCGATCAATAAAATCATGGTTGGGCTTCGTTGTCAACTCAAGATCGGTGTAATTAGGTTGACGATTCGACCAGTAGACTCATGGCTAGACGCAGTTGTCAACTCAACATTCATATTCGGTGCAGTGTGGCCGGTGCCGTTAGCCTTTGGTGGTTCATTTGTCACTTGTAAAGATTTCAAAATTTCTCTTTCAAGGTGAAACATCTTTCTGAGTGTACAACCAAATCCAGAAACGAGCACAACCCACTTTTTACAAGTTTATCTTCACAGCAATAATACACACAATCTCCCTTTTAAATTACAGACAGTGGAAATCCCTACATGTTGTGTTGAATATATTGTCAATTTTCTCATGTAGTGGAGACCTTATCAAACATATCATGACAAGCTACATTTCACCACAAGTTCTCATAAAAATATCCTGGTGACATAAATACAGTGTTTTAGATAACTTCACACAATTTTAAATTTATGGCTAAATTTTATTGCAATTCCATTTGAATTTTAGATTTCTATCTTAAGAGATTAATTTTATCAAAAGGAGTAAAAGATCTTATCTAGTTATTATTGATATTTTTAAGCTTTGAAACGTTACTCTTATATACCATGACTTTCAAACTATGATATTTGTTTCACAAAACTGATCTTACAATGAGATAATTACTCATTTAGCCATTGTTTGAACTCCATTCTTTTAAAAATTCATATTTCAAAATTCATTTTCAACTACATATTCTTCAATATAATAATAATACGCGCAAATCCAATAATTTTCCTTAATTTGTTTGACAAAACTGATCTTACAATGAGATAAATACTCATTTGGCCATTGTTTGAGCTCCATCTTCTAAAAATTTATTTTCAACCACATATTCTTCAATAAAATAATAATACACACAAATCCAAAACTTTTCCTTAATTTTTAACAAGACATTCCCATCAATTTACTATTTAAAATAGATTATTTTCCCTAAAATGGGCTCAAACAAGGGCTTAAGCTTTAAAAAAATTGAATTGTTTGTTTAAACCTCTTTTTTCTTTGAACTCCAGTATATCGAGTTTAGAACTTCATATTAAGCCCTTGTTTGAGCCTCATTCTTTAAAAAAATGTATTTTTCAACAGTGTTTTGATATCATTTTAACCACACGTTCTTCAATAAAATAATATTATACTAAATCAAAAAAATTTTGTTTTTTTTTTTTAACCTCACCTTTCCTATCAATACACTATTCAAAAATTCATTTTTCCCTCAAAATGGAGCTCAAACAAGGGCTAAATTGTCAATTTTATTAAAAAGAGTTACTAAAATTCTCATATACTATTACACCAAATTTTGTAACTATATCCTTTTTTTTATATATAAATTAAAGTTATTTAAATAGTGATATCGTTGTGCTGTCCTTGTAATGACCATAGTAATGACGTTAAGACCATCGTTATTAATACAAAATAAGAATCCTTTATCTTAAAACATTAGCCCTATTTATAATAAAAAGTTTAACTATAGAATTTTCATTTTCCCTTATTATTTTTATGGTTTCACATAGATAATATGTGTAAATTAAATACTCTTTGCTCTCATATCTGAGACATTTTCATGATATTTTAACTTGCACATTGTCGTCATTTTTATACACATTTGTTTACACATCTCTATGTGTCTAAAATCTCTTCATTGATTAAAAAAAATATCGTTAAAATTAATGCACCAAAATCTGTCAAGTCACATGAGTGTAAATCAAGATGTCAACTTTGATATACTTACGATATGATTGTAAGAATAAACTCAAGTTGACAAAAATATTAAACGTGTTGAGTTCGTATGCAGTCCGACTCAATTGATGATTGCTACTACTTGGACAAAACAACACGGCAAATATACCATGATTACTCATAGTATTCATGTATACACCATTCCTTACATTGATTGGGAGACATTTCTAAATTAGGGCAAGCATAATTTAAATATTAGGATGCGTTTCCAAATTAGGACAAGCATAATTTAAATATTGGACATTCATATAATATTAAAAATTTTAAGAATGTGAAAAAGGTGGGGATTGAAAAAGTAAAATTACATGGACAAGTACCCAATTTCACTCTCTTTTTATCAACTCTCTCCTTTTTTTTTCAATTTTAATTTTTAAATATCAAATTGGTATGAACATTGGTGGAAATATTAGTTAGACGTGTAGAAGAGAATAACTTATCAAATCGGTAGGAACGTTGGTGGAAATATCAGCTAGACGTGCAGGAGAGAATAACTTACCCCATTCGGAGACAGGGAGAAACACGTGTCAAGAAAAAAATAAAAAAAAACTAAATTTTATGTGAGCTAGCCATACTTCTCATGATCATTTGTCGAGAAAGGTATACATCTTTCCATCTTATAGTCCCTTTCAAACTCATTGTATGAAGGAAATTGAGTAAATTTCCTATGGTACGTAAGTTCGGAGAATTTTTAGCTTTCAATAATCCCTACTTTACTTGGTCCTCATCCAAATACAAAAGGTGACAAACTTGGGTTTTTCCAAGTTCCCCTCATCATTATCTTACGGCCAACTTTTCATCACCATATATATATATATATATATATATATATATATATATATATATATATAAAGTAGTATGATCATTTAGCTTAGACAAAAGAAATTTGTATTATAATTAAGGAGGGTATCATAACGAAATTAAGTTCGATTTGGTACAAATTCTTTAAAATTCATTTTTAACCATATTCTCTCTATAAAATAATTTTGTATGTAAATTCATAATTTTTTTCTACCTTTTAATCACACATTCTTCAAAAATATCATTTTCGAAAAATTTATTCTCAAAAAATCTAAATTTGAAGAATGTTTAATTTAAAATAAAGAAGTAATTGTACTTCATCCCCAACCTATTCTTTGTTAAGCATAATATATATATATATTATTAAACTAGCCTATCAAGAATAATTTGGCTCCTTCCAAACTGGAGGGATAAAACAACAATAATGTGTTTCTCGTAAAAGGAGTGCTACTTGGGCAGGAAGTTGTCCAAGAAGAAAAATTCTTCTCGTATATGAAGTTACTGGAAATGGACCACTGGGAAAACGACAAGTGTCATCCAGCTGGCTCAGATTGCGAAAACAATCGTTTATATTCAAAATGGCATAATAATAATTGAAAATGGGTCCATGATTATGAGCATGAAGTTTTACAAACTAAATGAAGGGTCTTCAATAAAGGTTTTACAAACTTAAAAACTATTAGGAATATATTTCAATAGCTTGTGAAATTACAATAAGTTTCCCTAAGAAAAAGGTAATCTGTATAATATGTAATAAATTTTAAATTATACAGAAATTGTCTTTTTAACTTTTTCTGTATCCACCTTTCTGATTCTATATAAACGGGCAGACCTCCATTTCTCAGCGACTCAATTATCAACACAGAATACGAAGGCATTGAGAGAGAGAGAGAGAGAGAGAGAGGATGGAGAAGATTATTGCATTCTTTGTGCCTGTTTTTACCTTTCCGTTTACTGTATTTTTATATGTAATTTCACTGAAAATGAAAAGAAAACATTCAGAGAGGAAAACTAAGCTCCCTCCAGGCTCCATGGGGTCGCCTTATATTGGAGAAACTCTTCAGCTCTACTCCCAAGATCCAAATATCTTTTTTTCTGACAAAGTAAAAAGGTTTCTTGCTTTCATTCTCAATTACTTACCGTCCAATTCTGTCTAATACTAAATACCTGACATTCCCTGATAGAATTTTTCTAACAATAATTCTAAACGGGGCAGGCACCCTGCTGGCTGCCAATAGGGGGACACTTGTCCCCCCGGACAAACAGGGCCCTGTTTGCCAAGCAAATCTCTTTTTCTAAACTGTATGTTCTTATGCAGGTATGGAGAAATCTTCAAGACTCATGTACTTGGTTGCCCTTGTATAATGTTGGCCAGCCCAGAAGCAGCCCGAATCGTGCTAGTCACTCAGGCACATTTGTTCAAGCCGACGTATCCAAAGAGCAAGGAAAACTTCATCGGCCAGTCTGCGCTGTTTTTTCACCAGGGAGAGTACCATATGCGGCTTAGGAAGCTCGTCCTTGGCGCGTTATACCCGGACGCAATCCAAAACCTAGTGGCAGATATTGAAGCCATAGCAGTGTCTGCAATGGATTCGTGGGCCGGTGGCCGTGTCATCAACATTTTCCATGAGATGAAAAATGTTCGTCTCTTTGAATTCATGCTAACACCCATTTAAAAAAATTGTGCACCTATCACTTCTTTAATGAAAAATGTCGTTGGCATGCACACGGGAAGCGTTGAAAACCTAGATTTAAATGAACAAATCTGTCTCTTTTAAGATTTTACATGAGAAAGCTAATTTGTCATTTACCATTGATTACCTGCAGTTCTCATTTGAAGTAGGTATACTCTCCATTTTTGGTCATTTGGAGTCCCATTATAAAGAAGAATTAAAGAAGAACTATAGCATACTCGATAGAGGGTACAATTCTTTTCCAACAAACTTGCCTGGAACTCCATACCAAAAGGCAAGGAAGGTAAAATAGCGATAATTATACTTTGTTACATGGCACTATAAACGAGATTTAACTTCTTCATTTTTTATTTTTATTTTTGTGTCTACCGGCTTAATACACACGGGTTGAAAATGGACTCTTATTTTGACTAATCATATTTACCATTTTAATGTATGAAGGCAAGGAAGAGGTTGGGTGAAATATTAAGTAACATTATGAGAGAAAGAAAGGAAAAGAGGTTTACGGAGAAGGACCTGTTGAGTTGTCTGCTAGTTTCGAAAGATGAGAATGGTGTAACTCTAAATGAGGATCAGATTGCTGACAACATCATCGGAGTACTTTTCGCAGCACAAGACACGACTGCGAGTGCCATGACATGGATTCTCAAGTACCTTCATGACTACCCAAAAATTCTCGAGGCCGTCAAGGTAAAATCTAGAAGGCATTTTGCAGTTGTTCTGGAAGACTGGATTAATACAAGGTTCTCTAAGAAAAACGTAGCTCTATTTTCTATTTGTGGGGTCAAATCAATACATTCTAAGATTCTCGTGTCTCTAGATCATTCTCATTTCTTGACCTTATTCTTAAATTTGCTTTGTAAACGTCGTAGATAATATGTTTCTGATTTGCATGCAGGCTGAACAGAAGGCAATATACAAATCAAATCGAAATGAAAATAGTCATTTAACATGGAATCAAACAAGAAATATGCCATTTACTTACAAGGTATTTGACTACCATAAATAATATATTTGGTATATTTCGTTTAAATTAGGTCGGTAATGTTAACACCAAATTCATTTTTTTTTACAAAATCATTTACAAGTAGTATCATTCACTTTCATTCTCTACGTCTAACTTGCTTCCATCATCCTCACGTAATATTTTGACCTGTACTCTTTTTAGGTGATTTTAGAGAGTTTAAGAATGGCAAGCATTATATCATTCACATTTCGAGAGGCAGTGACAGATGTGGAATATAAAGGTAAGCTTTCTTGTAAGGGAAATGTACCCTTTTCGAGGGTGTCCTAAGCCTGGTAATATTACCAAATAATCCACTAAATTTTGCTATTTATACGCTGGCGTTCACACGCCCCTCACATGAGGTAGGGGCCCATGCCCAATAAAAGAAGCGTGAGCCCCCCTTGTGTGAGTGACGTGTACATCGGCGTGCCCATGGACAGGTTGCACAATTGTAATCCACTTTTTTGAAATAAATGTTTTTGGGTCACTGAAACTTTGGTATGATTTTGGTGCCAGGGCACCTAATTCCGAAGGGATGGAAGGTCATGCCTTTATTCAGGAATATTCACCACAATCCTGATTTCTTTGTTGATCCTCAGAAGTTTTTTCCTTCCAGATTTGAGGTACGAGTTAATATTATTCTTTTAATGGTTGACATTAAGTGCATATTTAGCCCCTATCTTACAATCATTATCCTAATTTTCTTTTTCTACGTGCTGATTTTAACCACACATTCACACAATAAAATATTCTGCACGTAAATTCAAAATTTTTTCATACTTTTTAACCACATATCTTCTAAAAATTCACTATTCAAAAGTTTAGTTTTGCCAAATAATGGCCGTCAAGTAGGGCCTTAGTGCTTGTTTGATACTTTTCAACTTATCAAACTTTTTGCTACAAATTGGATCCACAACTTTTTATCAATTTTTTTCATCAAAAGTTTTGTTAAACAATCCCATGGTACTTAGAACTAAATCTAACAATAGTTTCTTAGGGCATATGAAAATAGATTAAATATTAATGCCAACCAATTAAACTTCATTTTCACCAAATATTGACCTAAATAAAAAATTGAGTTCGACTAAAAATTTAATGACCACCATGACTTTTAATCCGATGAAAGTATGGTACGACAAATCTTTTTTTCCTCAAAATATAAAGATTAAAGAGACTTATTAAGGAGAAAAAAATTGTAGGATGAAGCAACGAATATTAATTTATGGTTTCTTGTAGGATGTGTTGAAACCCAATACGTTTATGCCATTTAGCAGTGGAGTACATGCCTGCCCCGGTAACGAACTTGCGAAGCTAGAGATGCTCGTTATGATCCACCATCTAAGTTCTCAGTTCAGGTACTTTATCAAACTACAACAAGTATTTTTGGAAATGCGTTTTTTAGATAAATTAAATCATAAATAACCAATTCTAGTTTATACTACTCGGTTCCTCGTATGTTCAGTTGAATTCACCAAACATGTCATATATGTATTTTTTACTCCATATATCACAAGTTTTGATTAAAATAATATTATCTTTTTCTTTCCCCCTCAATTCTGTCTTATACTATTAAGTTTATCTTACTAACTACGAGACGACGTTGGTGAGTGGTCTGTGATATTAGGTATTATTTGACAATTGTGTTTGCAGGTATGAAGTGGTGGGATGCCAAAGTGGGATTGAACATGCGCCATTCCCCATCCCTTTCCATGGACTCCCTGCCAGATTTTGGAAACAAGAACCAACCAATTAAGTAGGACATACCAAGACAATTGTTTCTTAACCAATTTTCACTTTTCCTCTCTGTTCCCATAATCCAATTTCCTCTCCAAACTAATATGGGGATGGCTTTTTTTCCTCAAAATGAATTAATATAGGTTCATAATCAATGAACTAATAATCAATGAAGAATTGTATTCATATATCTCATCGGTTAAATATAGAAAAATACGTACTATTTTTATTGTAGGGTTGGTATTGAAATTGACTTGATTCAATTGAATTATCTTGTTTCTTGGCTTTGTTGACTTGAAAAATCATTTTATTTTCTTGACTGTTATTGAAAATCAATTATTACTTTTTCTCGAGAAATTTGCTTGAAAGAGATCATATGTAGCGAGAAAATGGAAAATAGTCACTTTTTATTTTCATTAAAATCATGGGTAGAAGTTAAGGCTTCGATTGTAAGTGAGCAGTCTTTGAGAGGCACAGTCTGAAATTAATTAAATAAAAAAAGAAGAGAGAAAGAGAAAAAGGAAAAGGATTACGTCAACAATTTTTATTAATTCCATTCTTTCATTTCAATTCCAACATCTCTGCCCTTATGTTTTTGTTTATGATATTTGTGATGCCACTGGTAGTTTACTTAATGAAATGTTGAACTATTGCAATGTTTAAAATTGTTTATCATTTTTTTTTTTATAAACTAGTCGAGTACAATTCAATCATTTGGTCAAAATGATCGATTTAAGTTCCTAGTTGGTTCTATATTGGAGGAATCGAGTTTGGGAACTTCTAATTTATGTAGAATTAAATTATCACGCAATTTGCATCCGCTTTTCACAAATTTTCCCTCGAGTAATGCAATTCAACATTACTGATAGCAAGCACTAATTTAAGAGGCAACTTCATAACATTAAATAATTGATTCAAATAAATGTAATGTCATATGATTCATATAATTAAATCTATTAAATGTGACCATCTAAATTGGTATTTCAGCATAGTTGGTGCTTGATAACATTATTCGATGTGAAATGTGATGTTGGGTGATATTTGTTGATACCACGTTTTTGAATGTTTCATAAAGTTCTAGTTGTGATGAGAGGCCATAGCCAGATGGTAAGTATATGATTGGTCAAGTGAAGGTGGGTTTGGTCCATAAGAGCAATCTCTAAAAGAATACTACTGCTTTTGTCGACTACATTTGACGCTACATTTCACAATACGTAGTGAATTATTTCATTTCATAACATATTTTAGTGGAATTGTATTTTTTTATGAATGAGAGCTCTCTTAATGAATAATGATATATGACGGGTATATTTAAATCAGTCTAAATAACAATGTATGATATTTAAAAATAAGCTCAATATATGACAATATTAAAAATGAGAATGAAAAATATAGTCGTTATGAGTCTCACACAAGAGATAGAAAGTCAAATATAATGGCTTGATGTGATGGATAACGGTCATATTTTTCATTTTAATAAGCAAATAATGAGAAACAAACGGGGCTTATTATTGAACTTATCATGCATGGCTACAGAAATTAATTTTAAAACATCAACTAGAATATATAGCATTACCTTTCTTAAAATATTATTTAACTATGTAAGTCATCGTTACTATAATTTTTTTTTTTTTTTTCAATTAGTGCTATGTTGACATATTTTAATGTATCATATTATCGAAAAATTAGCTTAAATGGTCTTAAGCCTATGCTCATCTTGCATTTCTTGGTCCCAAAACTTTAAACCTTGACAATCAAGTCACAAACCTATGCTTTTTGGCATAGTTAATCCTTTTAGAAGGTTTCCGTTTAAAATGGCAGTTAATTTTGTGTGTAGATTGTAATTTTCTTATTTTATTTTTATCTGAAGGGGCATATTTTTCCAATCAATAACAACTTAAGTAAAAAAATGAAATTTAAAAAGAAAAAAATTTTAAAGAAAAAAATATAATAATATTCTTCTTCCACCCACCCTATATTTCGTACGTACATAGACATAGGAACAGGAAGTATGACGAGCAGAGTAATGATTCGCCTGTACAAGCCACATGAAAAATGTCATTTCAATAATAATAAAAATGTTGACATGCCACGAGTAGCTCAAATTCTCCCACTTAATTAATTATATGTAGGTCAAAGATCTATATAATTTGATCACAAATTAACAATTTAATTAGTCACTTATTATTTTTTTATCACAAATTAAAAATTTTATGTAATTAATTATTTTACGATCATAATTCAAAAAATTTATAAGTCACAAATTAAAAAATGTATAAGTCACGATTTATTTATTGATCACAAATCACAAATATTAGAAGTCACAACTATTATACAGTCACAAATTATCAAATTATCGGTCACCAATTAACAAATTTTTAAGTTACATTATTTTTTGGTCACAATTTATATTTTTTATTGGTCACATTGTTTATTGGTCACAATTTAGCCAATTTAATGGTCACAATCAACAAAATTTGTGACCACCACTAACACTTGTGATCACCATCTCACCACTTCTTTGAGCACTACCACCACTACCATCGTCCACAAAACCACCACCTCCACCTCAAACAAATCAACCGATCGTAGAAAATACAACCGCATCGTCGACACCATATCCACCACCAAGAAAAAAATTATTACATTAATCGCCACCGTCACGACCATAGACCGGACCCAAATTTCCTAAATCTCCTGTCATCCACCACCACCTGCACTACCTAGATTGTGACTACTATCACCAATGCTAAGTTGTGACTACCAAAAACTATCGCTACTTTACCACCACTTCACCACCACTGTGACAGTACTACAAAATAAATCCAAAATCAGAGCCGTAATGGAGGTGAAAACCACTGCCACAACCACCACCAAAGCCAACATCACAATCGCCACATCCATAGTATCATAGTAGCATCACCGCCACCGCCACCCAAAGCATCACAATTTTCATTTACCTCTACACTTACATATTGTATATAGGAGTACCAAATAGTACACCATAAAATACATGTCTTTAAAATAGTTATGATTAATTGTCATAATTGTAATATACAAATTCTTATATTTATATTTGAATATGAGATTTACAAATACTATCAAGATAGATACAATTATATATTATATACGGGAGTACCAAATAGTACAAAAACTAAGATAAGATTAAAAATGATTGAATCTTTACAAAGATATGAATACGGTGTTAAAAATTTTATTTTACACTATATTATTTGTCATCATTAATTATGAAAGTTGGAAATCATAATAATGAAAACATAGATAATAATGATGAGATCTGTGAACAAATTGAATCACAAGGAAATTTCTCAAGAGAAATTTTAATATTTGACAAAAAATTGGCTAAAATATGTAAGACAAAACTTACAATAGAACCTAAAGAAATCTTTTCTCAATCAGGTTTCTTAGAAAAATTTATGAACAGAAATATACATGTATATTATAGTGTATCTCAGCAGGATTTTGGATTCTTTCATCAATCAAACTCATTGAAATGGGTTGATCAATTTATTTGAATAAAACTTTATGTTTTAACCATGCCTTCATACACTTTTATTTCTATATACAAACTCATGTACGGATCTTTAAAGAATCAATGGGACTAAGAAGTACCTCCAGACAGGAGGCCATTAGGGAAGAAGCCACACCCACAGTATCATAGTAGCATCACCGCCACCACCACACCCAAAGCATCACAGTTTTCATTTACCTCTACACCATAACCACACCGTTTTCCCTCTCTATGGTAGCGTAAAATGCAGAGGAAATTTTATATTGCTGTGAATTAAGATGCCTACTTTTACAGTTATTGCCTTGGAGAATTTGTTGGATCCTCGAGTCCGAGATTCCTGCAAAAGCCCCCCAAGCCTAACCAGGGAGTGTCAAACAATGATGGCGAAGCAACTGAACGGATAGAGGACTCGAGCACGAATCTGAGAGTTGGTGGCTCCAGGAATATATATATCGCTAACTCTATACCTGACGCCGGGACCCACTATGATTTAGAGAATTCTTCCTCGAATTCGTCCTCGCCTTCGCCGTATGTCATCAATTAAAAGAGATCTAAACCCCGAAAAGGACGGAAATGATTTGAATTTAGAGGACAGTTGGTGGGCGATTTTGTAAATGAAGGTGAGATATAGAGAGAGAATGAAAAGGGATGAAGACAACTATGGAAGTGAAATATAGAGAAAGAAAATGAAAGTGATGAATGAAGATAAATTTAGGGTTTGGTAGGATGAATATGTATATTTAATTTTGTAATATAATTATTAATATTTAAACTATAGTAATTAATTAATAAAATATTTGATTTTTCAAATAGTAAACTTTACCTATGATTCATGAAATGAGATCTCTAAATCTATTAGATTGTGTAATTTCCACTAAAATATGGAAAAATTAGGCCTTATACAGCCCCAATGCAAAGAAGTTGAAAAATACTTCCTCCAAGTTGAAAATTTGAAATTTACGTCATTCCATATAATTTTCTTTGCGGGTCAAAGGGTAAAATTATTTGACAAGACCTTCTCTATTTTTGGCGATTAGGATTCAATTTTCAGCTTCACTTCGTAGTTCTGCGATTTTGGGTGAACTATGTTCAATAATTGTTTTCCCCCCTTATAAAATTGAAGTGTCAATTTTAAGCTTCACTTCATAACTCTGCAATTTTGGGTGAATTATGTTCTATATATATATATATATATATTTGCCATTATATAATCAAATATATGGTGTTGCATTAAAGTGTCAAATTCAAGTTTAATATTTATGATTAATTAGCTAGCAAATCATCTGAATATATGTTAAGTAGCATGTCGGTTTCATTGAAGTGTCGAATATAAATGAATTTACGTAGCATGTTAATTTCACACATTTTTAGTGTTTGTCATCTTTTTTGAGTCTATGTCACTTTTTTATATAACTTTTTTGGATCTATGTAACTTTAATTTAATTTGTGTCCCTTTTTTTTATTTAAATTTCTGTCACTTTTTTGAATTTTTTCATTTTTTTTAGTAATTATCATTTTCTTTCAAATTTTGTCATTTTTTTAGTGTTTGTCACTTTTTTCTATCGTCTTGGAAATTTATAGCACTTTATTTTTAGTAACAAACATCACTTTTTAATAAAAGTGACATTGATGTAATTTTTTAATCAAAAAGTTATACTAAAATTTTAAAAGTGACATTGTGTCACTTTTTAATTTTACACAGTATTTTTTTAGTTCCAAAAAACGTTTCATATGATTTTTCAAAACACACCTAATTTTAAGGGTATTTTTGTAAGTTGCCCATA